CCATTCTAGAACTGAAGCATTAGGATAAATTAGTTTCTGAACAAAATCAGGTATTACATCTTGCAGAAGTTCTAAATATTGTGTGGCTGTTAATGTACCCTGGTAAAATATTAGGCCGATTAGCCAGTTGTTGTAAATTCCACACCAAGCATTAATCAAAAACTGTAGTTGATGTCGAATGTTGACAGAAGATGATGGATTTTCCAGTGCCCATTAATGGGTGTTCTGCCTATTATACATTTCATTCCACGAAAAAGCGTGTCTCCTCTGTCCACACTATAATCTGCCAAGAATGTTGGCTGGACCTCAACCCTGGTTCACGATAAAGCTGCACCATGAGAAACTTCTCTTGGCACTCCTGTCCAGTGTGTCCTGATGAGGTGTTGTCTGAATGAATGAACACCGAATTCATTTAGGATTTTCAAAATGTGACTTTTAGAGACCGCTGTTGTCACTTACCTCTCTTACACTGTTGTTTGTATGTGTGAGGGTGAATGATAATACATCATCCAGTAGTACTTTCTGCATTACCTTAGCTGGTCTGCTGAATTGAAGTCGGTTAGTCACACAGCCTGTTTCCCTTAAACGTTCATGACCTTTAGGATGGTTCTGTATGAAAGATATGGGCCTACAGGATAAAGGCGCTGATATAACTTTGCTGCGGATCATGCCTTCCACCCACTTTCACAATAAAGTAGAACCATCTCCCAATAATCATTTTTTGAAAAAAAAATCATGACCATGTAACATACAACGCTGCAGAGCTGTCTATAGCTGTGTCAGGTGAACAGGTGTGACATTTCATGCTCTGTTTGCATAATGCGTGAATTTCACATACCAAACTCAAGTTACGTTGAGTCCATATATTTAGTGACAGGATTGTGCACGATCTGCATATGTCTACTTTGTTTTTGAAGACAGTCAGAACAAGGATGCACCCTATGGCATTTGAACCACAGTCCTCTCAATAGTGAATTGCAAACAATACTACTCTGCCATAAAGTGGGCTCGTTTCTAGTCTGAAAGATCTTTTCTCCTTTTGTTCAAGTTTTGTGATGTCACAGTTTCAGAAATGGTAAAGAAACAAATGTGCAGTTTCAGTGTTCTGTCTTAGGAATCCTTTCTTACTAAATTGCTCTACATCTTTGTAACTCACCTTTTCCTCCTATCTTGTACTGCATTTTAGAAAGGAATGCTAACTCTGCTGTTTTCCACCAGGTGGCTCTGTAAGCACTTTCATCTAGAAGAGGGCAGCCCTTTTACTGTACCCAGACACCACTTCTATAGCAGCAGCTGTTCAGCAGTTAAACTAGTGTTACCAGACTTTAGTGGGGACTCTGTATTTATATTTAGAGAGAAAGGGAGGGAGCAAGAGGAATCAGATTAATGTGATTTTTGCTGCTCATGCTTACTGAAGGAAAGCTATATATAGCTTTCATTCAGTGATGGTTTCATTGTTATTGGTAAACACAGTGTTTTTTTTTAATTTTTTATTTGTATTTGTACCATAAGTATAATTTATAAAATATGCTTTTAATTCCTTAAATGGTAGCTCAACAAAATGAATTTCATTCTGCAGTGATAAGCAGTTGCAGTAAAAACTGCTCTGAAAAATTTTGTTGTCTGGTTGAAAAATAGTTAATTTGACGACACCATGACACTGAATTCCTGTGAAATAGGATGCTTATTGCATTAAATCCCAAAACTTCAGCATGGATACACAAATAACTTCTTAAACATTACATTTGCTACTGGAATGACATTTACAGATCAATAGAAAGCTTGTATCGTTTTCTTTTTTCTAAACTGCTTAATAATGTAGGCTGAGCAATGCAAGAAGAAAGAGCTCATATATAATAAAAAAAGTTATTTGAACAGTAAGAACCACCGAATCATCACAGCATTGAATGGTGGGTGAATCAGTTTCAGGACATGGTCTGCTTGTGTAAGAAAGCCAGCCCAGAACGAACAAGAGCCCAAACCAAACTGGTTGAAAAAATCAATGAAATGTTTTGACAAAGTCCCACAAAGTCAACATGTTGTTCGAGTTCTAAACTCAGCATGCCTCATATAATATGCCTCATATGTGGTGTGTTATGGAATTCTGACGGTACACTTTTCAGATGTTGCAGATGTTAAAACCTTCTGACAAACCTTTGTTTAAAGCTTTGTGTGAGATAAGCTGGAGGAAAACAGTTTCACAAACAGACATGTGTTTATGGATGAAGCCACTTTTAAAATTTCTGACAAAGCTAATCGTCATAATTTATAATTTTGAGGCACGGAAAGTCCACATGGTGTAATGGAACACGAACAGGATTCTCCAAGTGTGAATGTTTTCGATGCTATTTCTAACAGTTCTGTTTTTGGTCTTTTTTTCTTTATGAAAAAATTGATTAACAGGTGAATTTACCAAGATATGGTATTGGAGTAATTTTCCCCTCTGTTGGAGGAAGCAATTCCTGGTTTCATTTTGCTGCAAGACTATGCTGCACCATATTGGCTTATAAACATTTGCCAGTACTTGAACACTATTCTAGCCCATCATTGAATTAGCTTTGTTGGGTCAAATGATATGCCCTTTTCCTTTTAATTTTTTCTTATGTGGTTTTCCTAAAGCCAAAGTGTTCGTGCTTCCATTTTCCCAATACTTATAGCAACTGAAGCAGCATATAATTGAAGTGCTTGAATCATTAACAAGGAATATTCTGTCATGAGTGCAGCAAGAGCTGGAATACTGCATAGATATTCACCATATAACTAGAGGGGCACACATATATCTATAGAAATTTAGATAACTATAGTTTCACTGTAGATTTGATTCATCAAAATAAAATACAGCATTTACAGATGTGCTTTCTTTTTGTTCCATTCAGTCTGAAGCACCCTGTGCCTAGCAAGTGTCTGAATATATTTTTATAGAACTGCTATCTTCTGCTTCATGGATAATAGCCCAAGCATTGGTTAGCCAAATCAACCTCCTTCCAGTAACTGTAGTCAATAACTGCTACAGGTTCATAACAGTGCTGTCTCGATATAATTTCCTTCATATCAGATTATGTGTGGTGCTTAATAATGCTGCTTTTTTTGTCCATCCATTTGAAAACCAATATTTGTTTTTGAAGCCAGGTATGTTTCCTCATGCAACAGGCTCTGATTTTAATTCAGCTGACATATCTCTTCCATCTAATCTAAGTGTTACATACATTCTCTTTTCTTAGAAATTATAAATTCTGCTAGTTTTGGAGATATGTAAAAGTTATTGGCAGTTATGCATTAACCTTTATTATGGAGTTTATAGGAGAAAGGCACATTTTTATAGTGACTTTGTATTTTTCATATTTTTTTAAAGTAGCAAGTGTCTCCTCGTGTGTAAATTACTATTTTCCAGATATATCTACATGAAGACTTGCAGAGCATGAAAGAGTTGATACCAAATCTTGCCCACTTAGTAGAAATTAATTGTTTCCAATTTAAGCACACTTTGAATAACGTTAGGGATTCATCTATGCCTATGTCTTGTTCTAGGACATAAACTGAGCCAAATTCCTTCATTAGAAATTAAAACAAAAAAACAGTTTCTTCAGTTTGCAATTAACACAACAGAAAATATCATCTGAATTATTCAAGAAATGAAGAAATTTCAATGTAATCTGGCTTCAGACATTAGACTTCATAAAAAATGGAGCTTCCAGAATTCATTTTCTTGCTTCTATTGGTTTCTGTACAATGCCTTGAAATATTAGTAAATGTAATAAAATTATCATTCATTTCTGTCCAAAGTTTGGCTCTTGAGTCTTATTTCTCAAGGAAGATTCAGTGTATTAGTTTCCTTGAAAATGAAAGCAATTAATACCTTATAAAAATAACTTCAAATAGTTCAGTGGGTCACTTTTTTCAGGTATCAGAATTGTAGTTCCTGGGTTTTCAATAAAAGGAAAGTGTGCAAATTTTGAGATATTCAATTCTTATCTAGCTTGCACCTCTTCTGTACTGTGTCTAACTTCACAGTATCTTCTGTTCAGGACAGTATCAGTACAGTACTCTTCTGTACAGTATCTTCGGATTCACTTTCTGATTCAGAAGTAGATTTCTCATTCTCTGAACTCAGAAGTAAAAATTCTTGATATTCAGAAACTTGCTTTTACATGTGTGTCAGCCACAATATTCTCTTTTCAATCACATGCGCTAAAGCCATATAAATACAGAATATTATGTCTGGGAAGAATAAGAATTTTAATGAAAAGTGCTGTCGCACTAATTGCACTGACTGAAGCTTGCCATGATCGACGGAGCTCCAAGCTTCCTTGATCAGTAAGCATTTGAGCATACCAGATATACTGGCAGGATAATACCCAGACCACACAGTGCTCGCATCTGCCAACATGCTCTGCAAGGTATACAGATGCTTCCCTGGCCACCATACTCTCCTGACCTGTCACCAATCGAACATGTGTGAGATGTGATTGGACGCTGTTTGCAGATTCTGCCCCTGCTTCGTTCAGAAGACGAACTGTGGCAAATGGTTGAAAGGGAATGGAGAGCTATTCCTCAGGACACCATCCGCACTCTTATTGACTCTATGCCTAGACGTGGTTCTTCGTGCATCGCTGTCCGTGGTGGTCCTACATCTTACTGAGCCGACGCCGTTCTCGCTCTGTATTCTGACTATCATTTTGAAATAAAGATCACTTATTGCTGCTTGCTGCCTTTCTCTTTTTTCCAAATTGCATCACTTTCTGATCACTGCTTCTTGGTGTTGCATTTTCAATGTCGAGCAGTGTAATACTAAAATAGGTATTTAAAAAAATATTTTGACCTTTGATTATTTAAGTACTGAATATCAGTGCTGCATGAAACTAAATGATTTATTTTTTCTCATGTGTGATATGTATACTTTTTCATGTTATATTTTTTATACTAAGTATAATAAGAAAAGCTGTTTAAAAGTTTGCATTTGCATTTTAAATATGTAATAATGTTTATTTTTATTTTGGCAGAACATTTTGGTTACTTATGTGGGAATGTATTTAGGTGGAGATTACATCTTTAGTTGGACAAATTTTATTGGCTTGAATATTAGGTAATTTTTATTTATAAGAAATCATTGCATATATGCAGATGGTCATGTTTATAATGTTATGTCTTTCAACTTGGAGGAAGGGGTATATCTCATAGAGTTTTGCACACTTGTTTGATTATTGATATTTTACTTGTATTAAATGAGTAAGAAATGACATAATTAAAAATGTACCTGCATAAAAAGGCATAAAAGCAGATGCCTAATTGTTATTTTTGGTCAAGCATTTCTCAGACTAGAACCATACATTTCTTGAAGGCCACATGAATAAACTAAATGTTTTAGGAAGTCACAGATATATTTTAATGAGCCATACCAGTTTTAGTTTGAAGTGTTATCATAATTAACCTGATCCTTACATAATATTAATTTAAAGAATCACATCATTCAGTACTATGATTAATATTTTCAGATACTGTGTAATAGTGATTAATTTATAGTAACGAGGCATCACTGATAAATATCCATTATTAAAAGCAATAATATGGAATTTACCTTGTTAAATATGACTTTATCTGCCTTACATATAACTCATAGCTTGTAACTAATTTTTAAAATAACATAATATCCCTCTGACAATGTATTAAATGAATCAGCATCAACTTCAGAATTTATGAAACAACAGAACAACAACAAGAAATTATGAAAGTGTTTTCCTAAGTCATGAATGATATGCATTATGAAACACTTAAGCTGTCCTTGTACTGAACAACTCCAATAATTAGCAACTGCTTAGTCATGAATGCCTATAATCCATGCTCATTTTTGGATGTAAAGAAACAGCATTTCGATTCTCAAGTTAATGAAATTTATAGACAGGTTTCCCTCATGTGTATGTGCAAATAGATCTCTTAACAAATATATAACATATTTTGGTATGAGAAGCAAATTTATTTTATTATTTAAGTTATCAAGACTTACTTTTATACTTACTTTTCCCCCTTTTTCTTTTACAGTAACATTGATCATGAGTCTCAAATTTTTGGTTTTAAATAAAGCATTATTTTTGAGTTTATATTCTGCTGACTTTTCATTTTAATTTTATATTAGGATCATGCATTAAAGAGAATTTTTTTTATAAATTCAAAATTTCAATTCCAGCATTTGCTGTTAATTGACAGTAATACTAATGATAAAATTATACACGCCTTGAACCCAGTCAATAATAGAATTGGGATTCATTTTAAGGAAAACCTTATTGCCAGGTCCTAATCTGTAGAATTTATTTGTTTTTGCTAATGCATTAGGAGGAAAAATTATTTTGAAAATAATTTTGCTGCTGCATGTATTGGTTTTTTTATACTCCTTTCTTACAAATACAGTTTTGTATACATTTACAATACTTCAGTATATTTTTATAAAAAGTTATTTCCTTCCTCAAAAACCCCTCTGTCATACATTTTCCTTGCTAATAATTATGTTTAAAAAGTGTAACAATTATGAATTAAATAGTTTTTAATGAGTAGGTTTGAGATTGCTATTTATACACCATTTACCAAAATATAGAGTGCAAATTAGAAACAGAAAAATGTGGTCAAAGAACCTGTAATCTGCAAAATTCCCTATTCCATGCAATTTTTGGCCTCAGGCTGTGCAGATTATCAGAATTCTGCTTCATTATTATAGGTTTATTAGTGTTATATATTAACCTAACTTTGTTTCCCAATGATTTATTTGGCTTTAATTTGTTGTAATTCTAAAATAAAGTAGCTATTCTTGGTTTAGAATTGCTTCATATATGTACAGTAAATAGTAAAATAAGTCTTTTACTTTAAATTGTTATAGGGAAGGCCACTGACATTAATTATGAAATAAAAGGGAATTTTTTTAGCAGATAGATGAGTCTTTTCAGGCTAATGTCATATATTCTAACTTTATCTTATTAAAAGCTCTTTGGTACATTTAAATCATAATATATGCATTCTCAAACAGTATTTCATAAATATAGCTGAAGGAAAAACTTGTATAGGTATTAATAACATGGTTAACTCTCAGTTAATCAGAACAGTATTGGAAACAAAAACAGAGGTTAACTTTAAAATACAATTATTCAGGATAGCAGCTAAACCACAGGAAAGAGGCATAACCCTCATTGTGATTAATGGCAAAATAGTATTTACAGTTTTTCTATATTTTCAAGCAGTTTAATGTGGAGAATAAATTCACTGGATAACAGAAGAATAAACATTATTAGAAATTACATTGTTTATAAAAGAATCCTCTTTATGGGAAATCTATCTAAATACAGTTTTGATTTAAGTTTGTCACAAAGGAAGTTAAGTTACGGTACACACTTTGTTGGATGATAGCTCACATCGATCATACACCAAAAAGAATTTAATAAAGAAATTGAAACTTTTTCCTATGGGTACAGAAGTGCTGTCGCAAGGATTATTTAGTGGTGAAAATCTTCCTGTTTTAGAACACGGAAGATATGATATTACAGTAAAGAGTTTAGATGAAAGGTTTTCCTATGAGAATTTCTTCTTTGGACCAGACCAAAATTTGCACCACCCTAGCTAGAATTCTTGACAATCTTCTAATTTTGAAGCTCGTGGAATAACACAGACGCTGGAGATAATTCACCACAAATACAAGTTCTCTTTGGTGCAGATATTAAAATTCAGGTATTATCATCGGGAGTTTCAGCTGTAGAGACCTTACTTAGCTGTACTATTTTAGGTCTCGGAGAGAAAAGAGAAGGAGTTAACAGCATCACCATCTGCCTAAAAGTCTTTGAGGTGAAAGAAATGTGGAAGTTAAAAATTTTGGGCATTTACGATCCGATTGAACAGAAAAGCAAAAGAGTACTAGAAGATGAAACTTTAATGCATTTCAAGGAAACTTTAACTGTTAAGTGACAATCGTTATGAGTTGTCTTTACTCTGGATAGTGGGACATCCTTCTCTCCATAATAACTAGGACATAGCTGAAACGAGACTGCAATCTGTCACTAAACAGTTACGAAGAGAAGCTATCGTGGACAAATATGAAATGTTTTTGCAGTGGGAGAAAGAAGACATAATAAAAGTAGTAGAGCCATCTGCAATCAAGAGTAGTGTTCATTAATTACCTCATAGACCTGTAAATTAAGTTATCAAGTACAAACACAAAGATCTGCCCTGTGTTCGATGCTTCACTAAAAGTTGCTGACTGTGCTTCCCTAAATGATTATCTGAGTACGGGACCTAATCCTACACAACTGGTTCCCCCCACTATTGAACAGATTCCCACCAAACAAGCTTTCTTGCAGCTTAGCATACTACTAGAAGATCGAAATCAACTCTGATTTTTATGGTGGAGGGCTTCTGGAAAATTAAAAGAATACAGACATTGTAGTGTAGTGTTCGGGCGTTACAACAATCCCTTTCTTGCTAAATGCGATAATTTCGCATCCTTTAAATTTAGAAAAATATCAAACAGAAGAGTTGAAATTTACCATAGAAAAACTAAAGCAGGTTTTTAAGTTGACAACTTAGCTACAAATATGTATGATAAGCAGTAGTTGCACCTACATCAAAAACAAGTTACAAATATAATGCAAGAATGATTACGTTGAATTTAATTTACGTTGCTGGTGTCACACAGGAATTCAAGATGGGAATCAAAAGCTACTTGGCCTTAATTGGAATACTACCTCGGATGAACTGAGCTGTGCTTTGCCGGAGACTTTAGTAAAATTACAAGAAAGATTTACGGAAAGAAATTTACTTTCTGTGATCAACAAAGTGTACGATCCCATCGGTTTTACATGTCCACCAACGCTGTCGCCAAAGATGTTGTTACAAGAAGCCTGGAAAAGTAAACTTAGTGGGGATGAACTACTCCCAGAAGATCTAGTGAAATGTAAGCAATGGTCAAATCACCTGTCTCTTGTTAAACATATTTCTATTCCCCGATTGATGTTGCCAGGACAAAGCAAAGCTGCCATATTGCATATCTTTTCTGACACATCTGCAAATTTGTTGTGCAGTCTTACGTTGTGAGAGGGAAGCTACAGTATTTCTACATTTAGTATATGCAAAGGCCCGAGTAGTTCCGATGAACCAACCTACTATATCTAGAACAGAAGTAAACGTATTTCAGAATAGTTTTTATGGTGGTACTGGCGTGGGTACCCAAGAAGAAACCCTGGAATAAATTTAGTAACACAAAGAAATTCCAGAAGTTACCTTGTGAACTTAATCCGGCAGATTTACCACTTCGATCTTGCACTTAGCGCGAATTGCTAAAAATGAGATGGTGAAAGTATCCTTCATGGTTAAGAAAACCTGAAATTATATGATATGTAACAAATATAGTTTGCCCAGAAGAAACTTTACAAGTGCGAAGAAAAACCATATTGTGTTCCTCAAATATTCAAGGAGGGAAAAATTTAGTTATAGATTGTTGTATTTCTCAAAATATTCTAAGCTATTACGCATGATATGATATGATATGAGAGACACAGCGCGACCCTCCTGGCAGACTTTACGTCGCCTTATGGTCTTTTTGCGGGCTGCGCCAGAGCAAGCCAGAAACAGCACCTTCACAGACATAAAGAACAAACTAAAAAACAAAATTCAGATTAAAATTCCTACTGCAAGCTTAACATGATTAATCTTCTCCATCATTTTCTGGTTAATTTTTTCAGTCTTTAAAATAATTTAAAATATCATATATGTTAAAAACATCATTTTTCTTAAACTCGTTCCTGATATCAGTAAAATATTTACATGTTTCCACATAATGCTGTGCAGTGCCCAGTTCTTTACATGTATCACAGAGATTAGACTCTTGTCATTTAAAACCTTTTAAAATAGAAAGGAAAACAGCCATGACCTGTAATGATTTGGTTAACATCAGTGTCTGAATAACATAAACCTTTTTTAAGTTTAACATATTTCATATAACCTTTATTTCGATCAGACCTTTCCCACTCCTCCCTCCATTTATCATAAATATAATTTTTCATAATAGTCACAGCTTTCCTTGTTGATCCCTGTACATCAATATCACAAGCA